AACTATATCTAAATTTTTAAGCCTAACTTTAAAGAATAGCACCTAGATTTAATTCTTAACTTTATTTTTAACTTTAGTAAAAAAGTATTACTTTATATTCTATATTTAAAACTACTACTTAATTATATAAGATGTAACATAGACTTAAAACTTTTTTAGAAAGTAAGTAGCTATTTATATGTATATAATACTTTTATAAAAAAGCCTAAGTAGATAGAGCTAGTACAGGTTAAGGTTAATCTTAGAACGTTCTTCTATGTTGCTACTATACTAGTAAGCACTTATATAATGTTACTATTTAACGTGTTTCACTACTTATCTGCTAACACTACTTATCTGCCAGCTCTACTAAAATTAACACGCATTTTTAATAGATAACTAAACAACAATTAAATTAATTTTATATAAATATATATATAAAATATTCCTAATTGCTTCTACATTGCGTCCTGTTATAGCCTTGCACGTGGCACTTTAAGCAGGTTGGTGGTGCTCGCTGACAGACCTGCGATGCCTGAGCCTGCGCATCCACCTTAACCGCCCTATCTGCCTCTGCAGCCAGCCTCTAACCTTCCTAGCCTGTAAGCGTCCCTCCTGTAGCAATGTACTGCTGTTGCTGTTACCTTTTCTACTTTTAGTAATAGTTTACTTAATAAAGCTTAGTGTTCTTCTTTATAAAAATTATTCTAAAATATATTACTATTTAACATTTTTTAATAAGCTAAGAGCTTAGCTTATAAAGCTTTATAATTAATAACTAAGGCAGCTATAAAGTAGTTAAGCCTACTGCTAAAGCTAGGCAACTATATAAAATATCTTTATAGCCTAGTGTGTTATCTTATTTACTTCTTATAGTAGTAACGATAGTGTTTTAAAAATAAAAAGTAATAATAAAAAGTAATTAAAGTAGTATAAAACTAAACTTATTGTCACGGTCAGAATGCTCAAGCTACAAGCAAGAGGTGGTGTAACTCAACTAGATTAAACTAAGGAGCAGAGGAGCTGCTCTGCGAGTTTAATATACATGTGTGCCCTCTGCCAAGGCGCTACTCGTAGCACTAGCGTGCTACTCGTTGCGCAAGCGAGGGAGCTGATGCCGCAGAGCATGTGACGCGGTACGCGCCGTCACTCTTATTACTTAAAGCCTACTCTTAATGCTTTACTTTATAAATAAAGTAGGCCTAATATGGTTATAAATGCTAAAAAAATTCTACTTATTAATATAAAAAATATAATTACATGTAAGCTCTAACACTTTACACTTATACACTTACTTAAGTAGTGTAAAGTAGCTAATATTTAAAAGCTATAGTAAGTAAAAGCTATAAGCTAGTATATAAAAACTAATAATTTTATACTTTATATAGTATTAATTAAATTTAGAAGTTGCATAGCTACTATAGCTGTCTAATATAAGCAGGTAATAGACTCTAGTTATACATAACATAGTTTAATTATTAAAGTGCTTAAGCTAAAAAAAACTAAGCTAGTTAGTTATCTAGCTATTATTACTTACTATAAGTGTCTAGTTGCTAGGGATATTGTAATACTAGCTAGCTTAATGTAGCTTGCCTGTAGAATAATAAGCAAGGGGAGCGCCTAGCTAAACACATTAATACACTTAATTATTATAACCTACTCTTAATTACTAGGCTGTATAGTAGCTGCTTGCTTAACTCTATTAAAGCTAGTTATAACCTTAGATATGTAACTAGTAACTTTTATTATAAACTTTATTTTATTTAAATTATAAGTATTATTATTTAGTATTGTATACACTTAATAACGTACTTCACAGGCGAGTTGCTCACACACCTAAGTTGCTTACTTTTGCCAAGACCCTACTAAACTACCCTTTCTACACTAATGTATTCCCTACAACACTACTTAGACGTGCTAAAAGAATGTTAGATACAGCTTATGCTTTAAGCTTTTAAATAAAATATAAAACTTTTAAAGAAATGTGCTGTAGCTATGTGCAGAGTCTTATAAAAAATAATAAATAACTATAGCACTAGACAACCTTTACAAGCTAATTTTACAGCTAAATTATAAAGGCTAAGTAATAAAAAGGAGCAGGTAATTATTAAGACTATACTTAAGCTATATGCGCAAGGAATTTCCCCTTAAATAGCATTTCTAGCTAATATAGCTAATTCTTTACGCGCTAAGCGTAATCTAGGCTATATTTGCATAAACTAGCCTAGTATATTTATAAAGTGTTATTTAAAGCTTAAAGTAAAGTTTTAAGCGCAAGTATAGTTAAGAGATATTTAGCTAATTATAAACTCTATCTTGCTAAAGTTGTACGTGTTATTATCCTAGATGCTATACTTAGCTTTAATATTCTTTATAAGGCTAAACCTGCCCTAAATTACTCTAGGACTTTTGTAAAAAGCTCTCTTATAGTTGTACTTACACTTAAATGTTACTTTAAGCTTTAAATAACGCTTCACAAACGTACTAGGCTAGTTTATATAAATATAGCCTAGATTATGCTTAGCGCGCAAAGAATTAGCTATATTAGCTATAAATGCTATTTAAGGGGAAATTTCTTGCGCATATAGCTTAAGTATAGTCTTAATAATTACCTGCTCTTTTTTATTACCTAGCCTTTATAATTTAGCTGTAGAATTAGCTTATAAAAGTTATCTAGCGCTATAGTTATTTATTATCTTTTATAAGACCTTATATATAGCTATAGCACATTTTTTTAAGAGTTTTATGTCTTATTTAAAAGCTTAGAGCGTAAGCTGTATCTAACATTCTTTTAGCGCATCTAAGTAGTGTTGTAGGAAATGCATTAGTGTAGAAAGGGTAGTTTAGTAGGGTCTTAGCAAAAGTAAGTAACTTAGGTGTGTGAGCAACTTGCTTGTAAAGTACGTTATATGTTATTTATAAGCTTAAACTAAGCTCTAAACTTAACTAGATCTTAATAAAGTGTGCACTAAAAGTGTAGCTTTTTATCCTACTTTATCTAGAGCTCTGCCTAAGTATTAATAAAGTGTAATACCTAGTTCTTGCCTATAAGCCTAGGTAGGGGATCCTAGCTGCAAGCTTAGAGCAGGACATCTGCTATTTAACACACATTAATAATATAGGCTAGAAACTTTTATTAATTAAGGTTTAAAATCTAGTAAATAAAGGACTACTTTTTAATAAGTAATAGCTTTTATTTCTTTACATTAGCAGTAGCCTGTAAAAGGGCGCCTACAAGGCAATTATAAAGCATTAATTAAGGTGTATTATATAAAGTTAAGATGTAATAAACTAATAAATTTTTATAGTTTTAGAGAATAGAGGTAGCTAGAACTAGTCTGCCTTCTTTTTGCGCTAATTAGAGCTGTTCTGGTGGTGGTAGAGGCATATTAGTGGATAGAGACGCGTTAATTTTGATGGGGCTGGCGGATGAGTGGTGAAACACGTTAGAAGACACTTACTAGGCATTTGTTACAATCGTTGCTCCGTGTATGGAGCACGCGGGCCGATGGAGCTTCGGGAGGGTGAGCTGCCTACAGTCGGTTGTACAGGCCTCTGTTATGCTAAGGGGAATGGAGTAGGGTAAGAGTGGTCGGCTCGTGGTTTGCCTGTTACAGCGGTATAAGGCGCTAGGTTAAACAGCTTAGTTAAGCAGAATTAGAGGTATATATAGTGCAAGATATATAATTAGAATTAGGCTTATTAAAAAGCTAAATACTACTTAGTCTATGTAAGATAAACTAAAGATTAAACACATCTCCTAATTAGTAGCAGGTTTACACTATTATATACATGTTCCTAGAGCGCTAAGCCCTGGCAGCAGTGTTCGTGCTTCTAGCAGAGGTGTCTGCTCCCTTAGCAGAGGTGTCTGCTTCCCTAACAGAGGTGTCTGCTTCCCTAGCAGTCTTGGCTGCCTAGTTGTGCCAAGGCCTGCTAGGCGTTAGGCGAACCTTATTGGACAACGCATTCATCCACTGGTGGGAATGCTTCTGTTGTACTCGCGCTGTCCAATTCGGTCACTTGCTCGGGGGCGAACGGATCCCACGCCAATTCGGCTAGACCGTGGAGCACTTCAGGTGGAGTTACGTTGGTCTAACTATAGACTGTAACAGCATTATTAAATTAACATATATAAATATGTATAAAATAATTATAAAGTTTTAAGTAGCTAAAGGCTATAATTAAAGATGTATAAGTATAGAGTAAAGAATTTTTAAATTAGCAATTAGTTTTTTCCCTTCACTAGCTAACAGTCCGCTGTAAGCTAAGGCATTTCGTTTCCTAGAACAACAACAGAGAAGCTAGTATAGAGAATTAATTATAGATTTCACAAGCTAACACTTGTGAAATAAATTACTACTGAAGTAATTTATAGTTACTAAGTTATGTTTTCCTAACACTTGCTTTGTAATAACTAGGATTAGAACTTACTTATCTGTTGCTTCTACTACTTACTCTAACTATCGCCAAATTAGTTTAACCCTCTGAGCCTGACATAGCACCAGCGTACGGCAGCATCTTAGCCTTAGGCATCACTGCTTCGTAGCAGTGTCCCTCTACCCGACGAGGCAGTTGTACCAACGCCTTCGCGCGATGTAAGCTTTTCTTTTACAGAACCCTCCACCTCATTCTCTTCATATATTGGTATAGGATGAAATAGAGCCAACGTTCTCTACCTCGCTCTACTAGCTTCATCTAGTAGTGGAGACCGTGTTTGTCGTCACGGTTTTATAGTATAGAGTAACAACAACTATATTTTCTTACTGTTGCGCTATAATTAGGCTTTTCTCCAAGATTTGCGATTTAATTAGCGGTAATGCGGCCTTAATTAGATCTATATTAGTGGAGATAAACTGAGTGGAAAAAAAAATTGATGGATTTTGGTTGTGTGTAGATTACAACGGGCCGTGCGTTAAGCGATGAAACACGGAAGCCTCGTGTCACCCCACTAGCTTCCATCCACTAGTCGACCAAATTTTTCCGATCCAATACCGGACTTCCACACATCAATCAACCACACCATGTCGTCGTCAGAAGAGGCGCAGGCCCTTGGCCGCTCAGAGTTCTGGGACGAGCGATATGCAAAGGCTGATGGGGATAAACCGACGCATGAATGGTTTCGCGATTTCGATGCGCTGGAGCCTTTTTTTGAGAAGTATCTTTTCAAGGAGAGGGGGGTTGAGGGGAAAGGCGGGAGGGTGCTGCACTTGGGGAGTGGGGATAGTGTGGGTTTGCTTTCTGTGTTCTTTCTGGGGAGATGGATTTTCCGTCACAAATCCACGTCATTGTTCTCCCTAGCCTTTTTCTCGTGCCCGAATTGAGATCTGATTCAGAGTGGGCCGCATATTTTCAAATATCTGAGTGATATCCTTTCAGGATCATTCTTCTCGGTTCTCTTCCTTTATAACACCCCTACTATACCCGCTGTCATCCTTGGGGTTTTAGGATTCTAGCAGGACTAACCCATCCCCAGACCGTCCCATACAGCCTCCTAGAGCGGGGCTACATAAATCAACTCTGCATCGACTTCTCTAAAGTAGTAGTCGAACTCATGAAGTCACGGCACATCGGCAAGCCGCAGGTAGAATGGAAAGTTGGCGACGTGCGGAATATGACTGAAATCGACACGAAATCCGTGGATGTTGCTTTTGATAAGGGCACGTTGGATGCTATGATTTACGGCAGTCCGTGGAGTCCGCCCGAGGAAGTCTTGGAGAATAGTGGGAGATATGTCAATGAGGTAGGTCTGAGTGAAGTGGGAAGGGTAGAGAGCTAATGCTGATTGTGAGAAGGTTTTGAGGGTACTGAAAGACGACGGTGTGTTTCTTTACGTCACGTACCGGCAACCTCATTTCATCAAGCCGATTCTGAACCGGAATAATGAATGGGATCTGGGGATGGAGGTCATGGGTGGTGGGGACAGTTTCCAGTACTTTGGCTTCGTTCTCAAAAAGCACACCTCGACTGCAAGCGGAGATAGCGCTCCAGGATCGTCTTGATCAAAGTTCAAACATTGTCCTTACATACATTGCCTTCTTCTATGCATATAACCCGCACTGGAATCAGCGGTTGGACAATTCAATGCATAGCTCGGTAATGGGGTCGCAATACAGTAAATTGTGTGGAAATTTTCGACGAGGCTGGAAGAATCGTGCAGTGGCGGAAGTAGTTACCCCTCTTTTGGTGGCATGGATATAACAGGTAAGCGCTCGTGCATTCCAAATCCTGGCGCGCATGACAGGGTCATCTTGCGAGACCTGTCCCGAGTTTCTCGCTTTTGGGAGCGCTGATATCCTGAGAGATATTTACATATTAAAGATAGTTCATAAATTAAATCCCCGCTACAAAAAGCTGAGCCCGTAGTCCGTCATATTCAACTTTCTGCAGTGCATACTTCATGTTCGCTCGAGGGGCTGCCTGCTGACTGTGTATATTGCCAAGTCAGCAGATTTCCTGTGGGCCAGCTTGTCCTGAACGCTGAGATGTATTTCATTGGCTTATTATGGTTCCTCTGAGGCGCGTTGGTGCCTGCAGCGACGCATGGACCTGACGTGGCGGCGCTAAGAATAACATCATGATTAGCCATGGAAGCGAGAGCGCTAAGGGCGTCAGGGCGGAGAGTTGGTCGGCCCAGGAACTTAAATCGCAGGGCAAGACTTACTTTCCCAAATCCGTCTTATCGGACGTACCTTAACATTCATGTGGTTAAGAAGCTGACAAGTTTAGGTCAATATGCAAGCCCAGAAGAATCGATTCTTTTGTAGATGTCTCAGTAAGAGACCCCGCACACCGAAGACAGTATTGAAGAAAGACGACGGGAGAAACACGACAAACGTCTCAGAATTGTATATCCTATGAACCAGAAAGAAATAGATTTAGGCTTACATATTAAAGCAAATCACAGACGCATGTAGTACTTCCAGACGCTGCTGAGGCCCCGCCTCTTGCCCGAAACATCGCGTCTCGTTCATCGTTCGTCAAGCTGAACGACACGAACCCGCTAAGCGCTGCATTTTGTCAGGCATGTTTAAGCCTCCATGAGGATCAAAGAATAGCCTTGACTAAAACTCAAGGGCTACAAGTTTTGTTTGAGCAACTCCACAGTTCGAACGAGAAGAGCAAGGAAGAATCTCTGTTTCGACGAGGCGCTCGAAAACTTCGTTCTACTTTGGACGTGTTGGGAGGTAGTATGAGTCTTGCGAGTCCACTAGCTGCGTTGGATCCGATTGTCAACAATGCCTTCGGTATAATTCAATCTGTTATGACAGTAAGCTGGTTTTAAGGGCACCCCATGTACACTTCGACTGATAATTCCTGCATTAGATTGCCATAGGAGTCTGTGGCGCAGAAGAAAAGTTCCAAGAACATATCCAGGGAATGCTGGAGAGGATTCCTATAATCGAAAGGTGCGATGACATTTGGGATTCAACGCGATCTCCGGGATCGCTCATATTCCAGGTATGGCAGTTTATTGTTATCCTCCTACATACAAATTGTTACTAGTAGGGCAAAAGGAACGAAACCGACTAAAAGCGTCAGGTCCTAGTACGAATTTACACGGATCTACTTGACTTCTACTTCGAAGCCATGGACGTCCTGAATAGTGACAATTTTTTCGTCGGTTTGCAAAAGAGTCGGTTCAGACAAAGGCTACCGGAAATCGTATCGTCGTTCACCCACAATACAGAGCAACTCGACAAACTTATCAACCTGGAAGCACTTGCTCTCATTCAGAAGATTGATGATGACCAGTGTAGCATTAAAGGCAAGTACCTTATCAAAATGCAAACATCGAAGCTGACCTAGTGTACAGTTCGGATGATTCTGGATAGCGGCAGCCAAAGCAAGGAGGTAGAGTACTATAACTCCTTAAAACAGCGAGCCGACGAGGCATGCATGTGGATCATTTCGACGATCGATTTCCGTGAATGGCTTAAAGATTCCAATGATGGACTTTCAATCCCCTCTTCAAAATTCTTCATCTTGTTTGGGGATATGGGATCCGGAAAATCTGTAACTACTGGCTTTGTTGTGGACTTCCTCATTTCTCATCCAGCCCTTTCAGGGTCCTTGAAGCCATTTGTATGCGTCTACTACTGCAAGAACGATAACGAGACCAACAAAGCAAGGAACATATACCGTAGTATCCTGTCGCAAATTCTAACGCGTATGGGGCAGCTAAAATCCATATTCATGAAATGGTATACCGAAGCGCAGGCCAAGAACAGTCTGGTAGACCCTACGCTAGACGACAATGCGCTACGCGATTTCTTGGTAGGAGTGCTTGGAAGGTTCTCTCGACGACTTTATCTTGTCCTAGATGGGGTAGACGAATGCGACTATGACAATCGCGATCACATCCTCCATTTCTTCGAGAAATTCTATGAGCATGGAGCTCCGGTTAATGTTTTTATTTCATGCAGATACGATGAGTCTATCAAAGAGAGGTTACCACCTGGAAGAAGGGTACTCCGAATGAATGCTTCACTAGATCGGGACCACATCATCGCTACCTTTCATGTCAACCACCTCCTTAGCCGACAGCCAGAAGATATCAAAGAACTCATCATTAAAGAGCTGGCAGAAAAGGCAGAGGGATCGGCAATATGGCTCAAGATGGTACTGGAGTACCTTCGGCGTCCTCATCGAAGCGAAGGCGAGATAAAGCGCGACCTTCAACGCATGCCGTCTCCCAAAAGCCTATCGAAGTTATACCGCAAGTTATTTGAAACTGCGACAGATGGAAACAGCGAGTACGCGGGCAAAATTGAATTTGCTCTCGAAACTTTAGCTATATCTGGACGCCTGCTCACCCTAGATGAGCTCGCGTACGCGGTAACACTTCGAATGGAGGAAAAGAACATCTCTAGTCTCTCTGATTTGGAAGAATCTAGGGTTGGCTCCGCAGGGTTGCTAGAACTCATTAGTCCTTTCGTCAGTGTCGTAGGCACCACTGGGGGTGCCATCGTACGCATAGTTCATCAATCGCTAAAAGATCTCATCGTCAGAGAAGCCCCGGCAGACTGGGGATCACACGATAATACCACGCCAGAGAGCATGGAGCAACGGAAATCAAAACTTCACAGCAGCTTGCTACACTGCTGCATCAAATACCTTCTTTTGGGCGATCTTGAGGAGAAGGATCTGTTTCCGGAGGAGAAATTGGAAGCAATGGAGCGACAAGCCTATGGTGAGATATTGATGCAGGTCCAACGCCACAATCACAACTAACAGGTTCAAAAGATCTAGAATTTCTCGGCCACTTCAACATGGACGTTGATGAAAATCAACCGAATGAACCACGAAGCCCAAACAGGTCCAGTTTTGGGCAAGCACAGACGCGGGACTTTGACCCCGAATTGGCTGGATTCGGCAAGTTCTACACTTACGCTGCATGCTATTGGACGGAGCATTTTAAGCAATGTTCACCTGACGCTCTCCCTGACGTCCGTGATATATCCAAGCTAGCACGCCATGGCTCTTTGACCCTCCGAAATTGGATGGAGACCTACAAGCGACCAAACTTGACCTCATCTCCACAGCGTAACCTAAACGTGGAAGAATTCGATGAGCTTGTTGTAGCGGCTCACTTTGGCTCTCATGCCTTTCTAGCCAAATTTCTGGAACGCGGATTGGAAGATAACTGTATTCGGGATGAATCGCCCGCGAAAGCGGTAAAATGGGCTATGCAGTCTAGAGACCTCACTGCTGTCAAAATTCTACTCCAGAACAAATCCCTGGGGAAGGGGCTTCGGAGCGGCTTGTTTCTGTGCGAGATCATGACCATTTGGAAGTGTACAACATCCACGGAGAAAGAAATCGAGGGCAAGTGGAAGGAGCTTCTTGAGATCCTCGTTTGCGGTTTTCTCGAAGACGATGCCTCGTCCTATGACTGGGCCAACACAATTCTCTGCTCTGCAGCCCGGCAGGGTTGCTTGCCTGTGATCAAAATACTATTCGAGAAAGCTAGCGGAGAACCCGAACTAGCCAAGGCGCTACTGGCAGAAACTCAGAAAGACAGTGTATACCAATCTGTCGGGGAGGCAGCATTCTGGGGCCAAGCAGATGTCATCCAATATCTGCTCACACAAGATTATGTCGACATCAGCCCCCATCTACATCACCGCACCGACTCCAAGAACTCATCCATCGACCCTTCGGGTAAAAACGTCCTACACTGTGCGGCCAACTCTAGAAATCCGGACATCTTCCGTATTCTTGTTGAGAAGTTCCCAAGCGGCGTTAATGAACAGACAGAGAGCGGGGACACACCATTACATATACTAGTCTTCGCGCGTCCCACGAGCGTTGAAGCTGTACGAGTCTTAGTAGAAATTGGCGGGGCGGATGTGAACCTCTCCCCGGGTGGAGAATGGTATTCACCCTTGCGGACTGCCATACGCGCTAGGAATGTGCAGGTGTGTCGACTGCTTGCATCATGTGGAGCCCACGTTGATGATGCCATCGAAGTCGATCCATTGTCTGGATATCCGATCCTGAAGGACAACCTAGAGGACACCGAGACTTCTGAATCCATTTTGAAGGAGCTAGCCTTAGTTTCACAATCAGAGGTATGCAAAAGGTACCTTAGAATACCGAAGAACTGAGGTGGGTTGAGATGTGCGAACGGAACTATAAGCACCATATGAAGCATGGAATAGTGTGATTTGGAGTCCAGCACTCTACTCATTCAAAGTATCCCTGCCCTTGCCATAAAAATCACCCAATCCTTAATCAGACCTCACTTTCCATCCACACTTCTGGTTCTGCTCGAGCACTTATATATTCGCTTTATTTAAGCGGAGTGTGTGTGTTTGCACTACTCACGCATGCCTCACACGACAGTCACATGTTGAGATTTGCCTTTTCATATATATATATATTGACCCCTAGGTACTCTCCTTCACTAATTAGTCTAGTTCCTCATGCCTCTAGTACTCCCAATAGCTTCATATATTAACATTTGCATATAACGTACCTAACGGGTTGGCCGGCCACTTTTGCTAAGCCCCTACTAAAACCACCCTATTCTCTCGCAAAACAGCCCACTTTAGCCCTATATAGAGTAATACAACATAAGATATTATTTAGAGTCTACTTCTGCTACTTGCTTACATGTATGTAAGTTATGCCTAGTCTAATTACACTGCCTGTATTGCTTTTAACTTAGCTTACCTCTTTTAGCGCGCACCTGCGTCTTTAGCTTCTTCCTATTACTATGCGCTCTAAACTCCTTTAGAGCAGTTAGACAAGCTCTATTCTTAACTATTAAGGTCTTTTCTGCCTAAATTTACTTTCTTTTATGCAATCTATGTTATGTAGCAGCCTTATTTACTGCTTAAAGCTTTATAATCTTATAGCCTACCTTATTATATTAATGCCCTAGATAACTATTATCTACTTTCTATTACCTTACTATATTGCCTTTAGCTGTCCTTGTCTTTCTAAAGCTATAATTACTGCTCTAGTTAATATCTAGCCTATTATAAAGCCTAACTTATTAAAGTTATACCTGTCTTTATCCTAGATACTATACTTAGCTTTTATGTTAGCTACTAGGCAAAACTAGCCCTAGATAACCTCTAGATTCTTATAAAGTGCTCTTTTATAATTATACTTATAATTAAACTTTATTATAAACTTAGAGCAGTGCTTAACTTATATACTAGTCTAGTTTAAGCTAACCTAGCCTAGATTGCGCTCTATAGGCAAGGAATTAGCTATATTAGCTATAGCTGTAAGCCTAAAAGGAAATCTGTCTGTAATAAGCTTAAGTATGTACTTAATAACTACCTCTTTCTTAAGCTTAGTTAGATTCCTTAATTTAAGCTAGCATTCTGCTTATAAAGGCTGTCTAGCGCGTTAATTGCTTAGTGTTGTGTAAGAGACATTATAAATAGCTACAGCGCGTTGTAAGAAGAGTTTTAAGTCTTATTTAAGAGCCTAAAGAGCAAGCTGTATCTAATGTTCTTTAGAAAATTTAATCTAGTGTTGTTGTTAAGGCATTATGTAGATAGGTAGAGTTTAGTAGGGGCTTGGCAAAAGTGGCCGGCTAACCCGTGTGGCCGGCCAACCTGTTAGGTACGTTATCCCATTAACCTGATGTTTGCTTATTAAAAACCACTCTAAGAAAGAACCAAGCAAAGTAGACATATAAGCCTGCAATCGAAAAAGCGGGATAAAAGCCATTTAAATAAGACTTAAGTGAAACTATTAGATCGTTAGGTTAACAAAGATGGTATATTACCCGTTTTTCTCGCCTGACGCACGGGCTCACCTGGCGCACGATTTTCACCGAGCAGCTTCAAAGGCTTTTGAGGCTACTAGGCCTCACGCAAATCTCTCTATCGCCTAATTTTAAAGAGTAATAAGTAATTGGGTATAGAGAAAAAGTATAGCTAAGTATCTAAGTATAATATCTTATAAGAAGGTTAATATGCTGCCTCTAATAATTTATTACTAGCAGGGCTTTAATAACTTTAATAATAAATTGCTTACTGCTATTAAGCTTCTAAGAGATAATTAACTACTGTTTTCTTACTTTTTAAGCCTTCTTAGTAGACTAGATGTCCTTTTAAAGCTGCGCAGCAGTAAGCTAGTTGTGTCTGCTGTCTCTATATCTGCTCTTAAAGCTAAATCTCCTTTGCAGTAGCCTTTATATAATACCTCTTCTTTAAAGCCTGTTGCTTCTTAGCTCTTTTAATTACTTTATGCTAGATATCTTTCTGTTTTTAAAACCTCTCTGCTCTAGCTACCTCTGCTTTTTATGCTTCTTACTTACACGCTAACTACACCTTGTTTAAGCTTTAAAAAATTGCACTACTATTTTAATTTAAAAGTAGTTTAAGCTAAAATGCTTTACTTTACTACTAACACTTTTTTTTATTAACTAGTGCTTTTTTTAGGCCTTAACCCTCTAATTTTAACAGTATATTTTAAGTTAATACTAAGTAGATTATCTATAAAAGCTACTTAGCTTTAAAGTTATATATGTTATTAACTACTACGCTTAAGATCTTAGTAACTTTTCTTTAATTTTTAGCTAACGTACTTCATAGGCGAGTTGCTTACACACCTAAGTCGCTTACTTTTGCCAAGACCCCACCCTAACAAACTCTACTATAGCCTATAACAACCCGCTCTAGCACTATATAGTACAGTACAGCCTAGAATATTATTTAGATACTACTTCTGCTTCTTGCTTACATGTTTGCGCGTTATGCCTAGTCTAATTGCACTATCTGCAGCGCCTTTAGGATGGCTTACCTACTTTAGCTTACACCTGCTTCTTTGCCTTCTTCCTATTACTGCGCGCTTTAAACTCCTTTAGAGCTATTAAGCATAGGCCTTTTTAAATTATTAAGGTTTTTTTTACCTTAATTTACTTTCTTTTATGTAATTTATATTATGTAGCAGCTTTATTAGCTGCTTAAAGCTTAGTTATTTTTTATTATACTAACACTAGCTTATGCGTAATTATTGCTACTCTCTTTAAAACTTTTTTAAACGCCTTAACTATAGAAGTTAGTAAACTATTTATATACTTTTAAATTTTTATTTTTATAAGCATTAATTATAACTTAAGTTTTAAAGTATTACTTAGAGTTTACAACTACTAGAGCTTATTATATATAAGTAGTAGTAGTAATAAAGTGCGTAACTTTACATTAAAGCTTATTATAACCTATTATAGGTTAAAAGAAACTAATTTAGCACTTTAAAACTTTTTTTAGATATTACTAAAAGTAATTATAGCATTATAGGCTGCTTTAAAGTATAGTAAGAACTTTATTTTTATAATATAAGTAATTTAGTTATATATAAGGTTTTTAGCTTAGCGCCTATATGCTTTTTTTAAAGGAGTAAAACAACCTATATTAAGTAGCTATAAAAGGTGTAATAAGTAAAAAGGCATATAAATAGTAATAATCTTATTATTCTTATAGTATTACTAGTGTCAGATTAAAGCACTGTTTCTAGGCTTCCTGAGATGAATGATGGGTTTGGATATGATGTATGGGATGATTAATTAATTGTGTTAATTGTGTTCATTTATTAATTCTTTTTTCTGCTCTACTTGTGTTGCTCAGCTTTTTGTTTTGCTGATCTAAGTCCCTCGCGCACTTGCCTTATGCGCGACTAGCTTGCAAAATGCTGCAATTTTCTGCAATTTGCTGCAAACTGCTGCAACATGCTGCAATTTACAGCAACATACTGTTTGAGCTTATTGCTTGTACTATGTAGCAGCTTTTGTCAAGCGTTCCTCCTGTCTTGACAGTAGGTGCGCAAATCTGACACACCCTCTTAGCTTAGACATGCTTTAAGCTGGTTCCTAATTGCGCAACCTTAGTATGCTTCTAGGGCTTCCATTCTTGCTTTAATCTCTTCCATATCCGCTTCCTAACTGACTATCCTCTCTCTAATGTTAACTAGCTGAATTTGCTAAAGAAAGCTTGGCTATTTGCTAACTAGAAGCGCTTTAGTAAGTCTGTCTGCAAGCATCTTGCTAGAGGGGACATAGACAACCTTAATTATTTATTAAGAGACTTCCTGTTAGAGCTAGTAGTTATAGATGTTAACATGTTAGAGCTTAGTTTAAAGTTAAGATATCTCTTTATTTACTAGTTAAATTATCTGCTTGTTGTTGCACTAGATTATAATAGTTAAATTAGGCAGCTTAACCTGCAGTTTATTAAGAAGCATTCTTATAAACATAGCTTCCTTAGCAACTTAAAACAGTGCAAGTAATTCTGCTTCTGTTGTTAATGTTGTAACTGTATTTTATTTATTTACTTACTATGTAATCTATTTGCTAAATAGTTAAATAATAT